ATTCCCATGAAAGGCGAGAGCAGAGCGCTATGTACAGAACACTACTTCGTGACAAAGCTCATGCAGTGACGAAGAGAGATAAAAAAAATGTAAAAAGGATTCCAGCCACCCCACGCCTTCCCTCGGTGTATGCTCCGACAACACGCCGCCAGCAGGTATCTAAATTTTGGAAACACAATTCGCTGACATTCCGTAACCAAGCCTCAGCCCAACGCACATTTCGACGGTGGGAGTGCCGCCGCAGACCAGATACACACGTTTATGCCGCCGCCGTAGACGGCGCAAGCGGCGGCGCTATCTCGGGCTGGTGCCTTTTTTCGTCTGTAACAGAGAGGCCCTCAACGCCGGCTGCCACATCGCTGACGACGGGCGCACCGTTCTGCCTTGGCGTTGACGCCTCCTCCTCGTCAGCGGCAGGCCACGTCTTGGCGACGGAGCAGATGACCTCGTCGCGCAGGGCGCCACTGGAGGCGCCGAGGCCGACGCACTCGAGACGCGTGCCGTCGGCCGTTTCGCGCCAGATCATGGGCCCCGAGCCAAAGCCCGTGTGGCCGTTCTCCCAGCGCAGGTTGCCGTCCCAGGCGGGGTCGTTGACGGGCATGTCGCCAAACTGGTAGGCGAGGCGACCGCCGTACTTGGTAGGTATGTTGGCCGGGTCGATGTAGGCCTCGAGCGTGGGCTTCACCTCGGCCTCGCTGAGGATGAAAATCTTGGAGACGGTGATGGGGTCGAACCAGCGCTTGACCCAGCCCCACACGGTGGTGAAGAAGGACGGGGCGCCAATGACGAAGATACGATCGAGCGTCTCGGGGTAGTGGGCCGTGGCGAGCTGGCTCGCGGCCTGCATGTGGTTCTTGAGGTTCCAGAACTGGCGCAGCGAGACGCCGTGAATGTCGACAATGTTGGTGCTCATGGTGATCGGGGTGCCGGGGAACTCGCGGTCCTGCAGCTGGGTGCAGAAGGGCATGTTGAAACGCGTCAGGTTTCTCGTAGAGGGCGAAGAGGCGCACAAAGGCCCTGGGGCGTGCGGCCGTCGGACTTGGCCCTGCGAGATGGCCTTGCCGTCCTTGCCCTGCTTCTCGTAGTCGGCGACGGCCTTGGAGTCGAGGGTGCGGATCTCAAAGACGTAGAGGGGGATGCCGCGGCGGTCGCGGCGACCGGTCCACTGCGGGTAGAGGCGGCGTGAGGCGTCGTAGGCTGGCAGCTCGATCGTCTTGTAGAGGAGGTCAATATCGTTGGCGGTACGCCACGTTTCCGTCTCGGCGAACTGGGTGAGGGCGTCGGCGGGGTGCCAGCGGCGGGCGCGCAGGTAGCGGCTGGGGCTCGTGTCAGTGTGTTGCGGCACATGGGACAGAGGGCGCGAGAGAGAGGACTCACAGCAGCGTGGGGTCATCGTGCGAGGCTGGTGGGCCTGGCGTGTAGAGGCCGCGTTCCTGCAGCAGCTTCTTGAAGGCGACGAGCTGGGCGTCCTGGTGCTCGGTCAAGTGGCCGAGATGGCCAGCCGGGTAGGCGCCGTCGACTGTGGACACATTGGAGGGGATGGGCTGGATGGGTTGGGCGAGGTTGGCTTCGCTCATGGTGGGCGAGCTGTGTGTGACGCGGCAATGTTGAGGGTGGGTGAATAAGGGACCTTTGGGGCGGCGGGTAGGTATGCACGTTGTGTGGGACGGCGAGGGGTAGGTGTCGCCGATCGGAGAAGAGGTCGTCCAGATCAGATGGGGTGAATGGTCGTGCAGATGGTTGTGTTTGCTTCCTGTTAGCAGCAAGCAAGAGTAGGAGATCTGATGATGATGAAATAAAAATAAAAAAAAAGGGCGGAAGAGAGGCCCGGCGCGTCGGCAGCAACAAAGGTGTGTGGTTGGCGGTCCGGTTGATTACGCTGCCGTGGAGAGGTCAGGTAAGGTAAGAAACAGGCAGGGTAGCTCTGCTTTCCGGGAGGCGGGTTGGTGAAGTCATTGGGTCATCCGTCATCGTTGACCATCGAAAGCAACGCAGAAAAAAGAGGCCAGCCCTGTCCAGTCAGACGGGGCGCCGGATGACTCGGGGACTAGGACGGGACCGCCGCATCCCTGATCCTGGAGCTGGGGCCTTGCTGCTTCTAGCGATGGTGTCATGCGCCCCTCGTCTGCCTTATCAGGGCCTGCCGTGACAGATGGCCCAACAGCCTGACAGGTGCGTGCTGGTGTCTCCGTATGGT